ACCTGATTTACATTTCACCCAGTAACAGCTAAAACTCACATAAGAATATATATATGGTTTAATGTGAATGATTATCATTGAGTATTGTGTTTAGTATCATTTAAACTGTCGCAGGGTAAGTGATACATATGTCTCATTTCCAAATAAGTAAAACAAAAGGAAATAAGGTTTTTAAGAGTTTAGGGATATCTGGCACACAAATGAATGTGGTCTCCTACTCCCAGAAGGTGTGAACTCAATGCTAATTTCCACTGTTAGCAAATTGTACCATGTAAATCAACTTCTGCCCCCAGTAAGTCTGGGGGGATGAACACAGTAAATTTCCACTGTGAATACAGGTTTACATATGAAATGAGGTCTGGCTATTTAATGGAAGGCAGCAAGGGATCGTGGCTCTTTCTGTATCTCAGATAGCCCGTGGATGCTGAGTCGCCGAGACTCAGCATTCATGTATTTCATGTCGGGTAAAAGATTTTCCTCTTTGTTCTAGAACATTTGATGATTTGCATTGATTATCTTTCAATTGATTATGGAATTATTATAATACATTTACCTGACATAATAAATTGTTATATTTGATTATTCTAACAGACTTTGACTTTATTTTCATTGGAGTTAAAACGAATAGTCAAGCATTAACGTATACTTAATGATGCACAGATATCATTGAAAAACACTTTCATTTTATGGAGTCAGATGAAACGAGTTAATACATAAGATAGAATGTATTGCATTTAATTATAAATCCCTTTGCCATTGGAAGAGACGGAACGCGCATGTGACCTTCACCGCTAATTTGAATGCCGCCCTTGGATCGAATTAGTCGGACTTACAGGTTCATAATTAATTTTAATAATAATAAAAATATTGACTGAAGTCATTGTAAGCTTTTGAGGTTTTTGTAAGGTTTTGGATAGAATGACTCAGGTGTTACTACATCCTTTAAAGGAACTACATATTATTTGGATCAGTATTCTAAAGTGAAGATCATGGAAACACGCTAATGACTAAAGTGTTACCAAATCCATCAGAAGGAATTACTGTACTATTCAAAACATTACAAAAGACTCAAAAGCAATGACTCCAGTAATTACTAGAGAGTTATCGTGCTTTTCACTTTAGAATACTGATCCAAATTATTATTATTTCCTTTAGAAGGATGTAGTAACACTTGAGTCATTACTAATGGGTTACCATTACCTTATATTACAAATTATGGATTATTCATGTTCATTATGAACCTGTATATAGTAGTTCTTAGTAGCCTAGTTCTCTGGGAGGTAGAAAAAAAATTGTAGTTACTGATTAGCTATTAGTGAAGTTTCTTGTTAGTTAATAGTGATTACTAGAATGTTAATAGTGTGTTACTCATTTGTTCCTGTGTAGTTATTCATTAATGATGGAACAGTATTCTAAAGTGTTACTACAAACTAGAAAGTAATAGCACTCAGTAGAAGGCAATAGTACACTTTTAGCTAATTAATAACTATTTTTCATACCTGGCAGAAAACTAAGAAATATACAGGTTTCATAATTAATGAGATTAATGCAGAATGTATAATTAATTCTAAACTAAAGATAATGGTAACCCACTAATGTAATGACCCAAGTATTAACACAATTCTTTTGAAGGAAGGACTCATTTATTTGAGGCAGTGATCTAAAGTGAAAAGCAGGATAATGACTGAAATCATTATAAGCTGATATAAATTTCTGTAAGGGAAGTTAAATAAATAAATCACTCTGTTGGTTACACTTTCTCTAGGGTATGGCTGATGGTTCCATGACACGTCTAGTGATTCAGAGAGAAGTGTGGACCTAATAAAGAGCTGAAAAGAGAGACAGAGAGTGACAGAGAATGGATAATTTGGGAAATAAATGGATGGTTGAGGCCACAGACAAATTCAAAGCATGTACGTTTTAATTTCGCATGAATATGTATATACATTCAAATAACATCCGAAGGTGCAAGTGTTTGATAGATGAACTAATTAAAGGAGATTAGAGTTTAGACTAAGCCGAGATGAAATGGCATAGATAATAACCCACGGCAATGTATAAAAAAAAATTGTTTAATAACTACTTGTCATTCTAGACCATGAATTTCAGTAGAAAGGAAATTAAGAATCATGCGACATAGGCTAGTTGTCACATAGGGAAGGTATACTATATACTATAAACTAATAATGTTTTGAGTCAATGTCCAGTGACTAAATTGATTGGTTTCATGATTTTGTATTTTTTTTTTTTTGCTTTTTGGTTACACTATTAAGTGTCTTTAAGTACTATATTACGTGTCTTTGAGTACATTTCAATTAAAAGGTTAGTTCACACACAATTTTTAATTATCCCGTAATTTACTCACCCTCAAGCCATCCTAGGTGTATATGACTTTCCTCTTTCAACCAAACACAATCGGAGTTATATTAAAAACTATCCTGGTTTTTCCAAGCTTCATGAGAGTGAATAGTAACTTTTAAAGCCCAAAATAGCGCATCCATCCATCATAAAAGTAATCATACGGCTCCAAGGGGTTAATAAAGGCCTTCTGAAGTGAAGTAAAGCGTTTTTGTAAGAAAAATATCCATAATTATAACTTTATAAACTGTAATCACTAGCTTCCAGTAACGTCCGTCCACGTGTTCATGAGAGAGTCGAGTTCCGGCGTATGACGTAGGATATAGCGTAAGCTTAGGTGAGAGTAGACTCCTCTCGCGGTTCAAACAAATAGGGCTGGGCAACAAACTCAAGCTCCTCTTCTCTTATCTCGAAATCCTCCGACATTTCTCTTTAAAAATTCTCGTTTTAGACTTTAAATTCGTGATCGGTGTTTTGTTAAGCTCTATCCTCTGTGCTTCCGCGTTCATCAATATATCATACGTCGGGTCAGAGGTCACTCTTCCGCCACATCAAGACTCACGTATACGGCCGTTACCAGCAGCCAGTGATTCTAGTTTATAAAGTTATTAATATGGATATTTGGGCTTCAAAATCTCAGTTACTATTCACTCCCAGTATAAAGTTTGGAAGAGCCATGATTTTTTTTAAATATAACTCCGATTGTGTTTGGCTGAACGAAGAAAGTCATATACACCTAGGATGACTTAAGGGTGAGTAAATTATGCATTTTTGGTGAACTAACCCTTTAATCATTTATATACAATGCAATATTGTGTATATATATTGTACATGTTTTTACATTGTACTTATACAAAAAAAAATACCTGGATGTAAATAAAGCTGTAATTAATTTCTCTGTTGTCACTTCCCTTACACCTTAACCTACCCACACATCCTTACCCATATCCCACCTCAAACCCATAATATGCCATTATTTACAATTACATTTTACTTTTATTATGCTTCTAACTGCATAAAAGTTACACTTACATTTTATCTATTTTTTAAAGTTGTGAGCGCAGAACCTGAAGGATGAAACTAAAGAGGATGTGCTGTAGAGTCATCACCTGTCAGCACTGCGCAAAAGGACTTTCTGTTATGTCTCTGTCTCTCTCTCTCTCTCTCTCTCTCTCTCTCTCTCTCTCTCTCTCTCTCTCTCTCTCTCTCTCTCTCTCTCTCTCTCTCTCTCTCTCTCTCTCTCTCTCTCTCTCTCTCTCTCTCTCTCTCTCTCTCTCTCTCTCTCTCTCCCTCAACAGATGGGCCGTTAGTATGCCTGTTTCCACAGTTTTCCAGCATGTGAGAGAGGATGCTGTGCCAAACCCCTGCTGGCAAACATTTTTCTGGCCAAATTCTCTCTCTCTCTCCCTCTCTCTAGCAATCTATCGTTCTCCTTTTCTCACTTGTTCACTCTCTCTTCCTTGTCACTCACAATACCTGCAGCAGGTATTATGTCATAATTATTACATCCACACTTCAGTGATGAAAAGAAGAAACATACAGTGCGATCGAACACAGCTCAAGCAATCACACACATATTTTCAACTTTTGCCAAACCTAATGGAAATGTCACTCATTTCTTATTTACACTGAGGGCTGAGAGCTCTGCTTCCCAGCTTGAATAAATATTTCTCTCTGTTTGAGATGGAATTGTTGCCGTACCATAAAACACAAACTAAATAAATAAGGGCCTAAACAACTTGAAAAGTAAAAGTTTATGCATCACAGAATTATTTTGGTTGAATCTGCTGAACATGTTTAACCATGTCTTTACCTATTTGAGAGCATCTCCTGTTTCTTATATGGGTTATCTTACATAGTTTATCTTCATCAATAAAGATAAACTAACTTTTGCACATCACATTTGCTTAGAGGACCAACTCAAAAAGTGAAAACACTGTCAAATGATAATTTGTTTTTGTGTGCCTTCTGTTTACTTATTTATTTTTCAGAGTATTTGTCACAGTAGTTTTTTTTAATGTAATGTGTTTGCTCTGTGAGAAAGCTAGAGCAAAGTAAATAAAATAAAAATCTGAAGAAAAAATTCTGTATAATTTGTGACTGAGTTGACATTTGTGACAAAACGAGCACAATTCCTTAACATATATATACAAAGTATTTTTTCTTTAAATTACACTTAATGTAACAGTTTACAGTATTGTGTATATATTTTTTAGATATTTTATATTTTTTATAGAGTTTGAGTAGTGTAAATGTTGCCATTTTAAGAACTAAAGGCAGGTAAAGTTGTTTGTCCCATGGCTCAAGAATCAGTGAAGAATTTATTTTTAAAGCTTTAAAATGACATTTTCTCTCCCTGTTTGTGTGGGTGACCTTCTAGCATACCACAGAAAACACTAATCCAGGAAATGTATTTTTCTAATATTTCATTTATATTTCACTGTATTTGAAAACCTATCTTGTAATAAAGAAACGTGAGGAATTATAAATGTAATAACTACTAATTAAAAGTGATAGTTAAATACTAGTAATTATAATCATTATATACTATATAATAACTAATTATATACTATAATAATACATATAACATTGAATTGCATTCGCTCTTCTCTGCTGTCAGTGGAGTCGGAGGGCAGAGCGCAGTGCTCTTGCGCGTCCAGTGATTTGGTGTCAGTGCCGTTCTCGTGCGCTCAGGAGTTAGACAGAGACACAGCATCACACAAAAAAACAGACGAATTTACTCCGGAAGACCAACACCGCTCTTTAATTAGTGCCTTGAGTGCTAATGAGGTTATTAACGCAGCATCTAAACTTGTTATTAAAATAGTGCCGTTTCGTGACACTGATTTGCGCAACTGTTTCCCTCACCTGGCGCCAGATTTGCTGGGGAATAAAAGATGATTCTCGACGTACCTCTATACCTATGAAATGATTTGGATTGCGCCTCGCGTTTTTGGAGGAAAGCAGCACTGAACGCAGTACGACGTTTTCTGGACAACTTTGGTGCCAGTGGACACGGGCAGTCGCGAAAGTCTTTTACTGCCTCAAGATTGTTGGCTCTAAGCAGGATGGACCTCATCGGGCTCTACTTGTTCCAGCTGGCAATTTTTGGTGAGTTTTCCTCCGATTAATTCTGCTGATTTGGGGGGAAACGCAGGATGAGCTCAGTTGCAGCTGTTGCGGATGTGAAGGGAATGGTGAATCCCTTCTTCGCCTGCAGACGCACGAATCATCTTTACAGTGTCGCCGCATTTTAACTTTAACTTGTTACTTTTGCGATTGTAATGTCGTTATGTGTTTGTTCTATCGGGAAGTTGCGGTGTTTAAGCTGTTAGGACATTGTTCCTGGTTTGATTTACGATATTGTCAGTGCGCACATAAGTGTCATTATCATGTTTGGCACACCAAACGGACGACCTGCTAATGTCATTATGTTTGTGTGTTAAAATTACCTGTCGCTTGCATTTAATGCGCTAGTTCACGGCACGTTAGCTCCATCATTAAAGTGACACCCTGTCCGTCAAGCTGTGCGCGTCATCGTGGCATCTCGCGCGGTCCGCAGGTAGCGCGCAGGGCGCATCCTATACTGCAGCTATGCAAAATAGCTTTAAAGAATTATGAAGAGCCAGCAGCCTGAGACATGAGCTCTTGTCAAAACGTTTGCAAAGGATACCTCCTAACTAGACCCCATGCAGCTGTCTCCATGTCGTCCTGTCGTTTCATTTGTGTACTCCACTGAGACTTAGTTTTATCAAACAGTCTCAAGAGAATGCGCTTGTGCATTGGGCAACAGGCTGAAAGTAGACGTTTTAAGGGAGGCTTTCTTGGCATGCTGGAGGGAAGAAGAGAAAGAAAAAAACCCTCAGATTGATGATGACAGTTCTATTTTACCCATATAATGTTTAATAGCCTTGCTGAGGCATTACTGCTACAGTCATGCTTCATTTAGTGCTCTTAGATTTAAAACTCCCACATTGAATATGGAATATAAATGGGTTACATTTATGAGATAAATGTGAATGTCACAATGTTTTCAAGTAGCCTACTCGTACAAACTTAAACAGGAGCAAAGAGAGAGATACTGAGAAAGTGAATGGGTGGTGTGTGTGTGTGTGGTGGGTACGGAAACTCATCCTATAGTCTCTTACAAGCCATTATCGTCATCACTCATCAGATATCGTCATCATGTCATTCAAACTTGCGCCTTCATATTTTTGAGTGGATTTTGAATGCAACTTCCACCCCCAAAAAGGAATCTTTGATGATTATCTGAAATAAGGAAGATCATTTACTTTAAACAGGAAATTCTGACATCATATCCCTGCATTTTGCTTCAAAAGACATGACATTTTTCAGTGGAACACATCAGCAGTTATTATCAAAATGTCAAAGCTCTCAATTACATAAAACAAAGATGCATTATCTGTCAAGTTCAGTTGCAATTTTGCTTGGTTTATTAAAAAAAGATGACATATAGTCTGGATTTGAACCTGGGTTTCCTTGGGGGGGGTATTTGAAAAATGTATCACTATAGCCAAAAATGTATTATAATGTATACTGAGCTGATTTAAGTTGTTATAAGTGAGCCAGAAATGCCACTGTTCCAACCAATAGGCTACAACAAGTTTATTATAGGATTGTGAACAAAAAACAAAATCCATAAGGATTAAAAACAGGTGTAAAATTAAAAACATAAAACCAAAACAGACATTCAATTAGTCTAAGGGCTAGTCTTGCAGACCATCAGTGTAATATAAACTCTCTCTTTCTTATACACACACACACACTTTTCCCTCTGAGGTTCACATGCAGAGGACGAAAGACATATAGCCACCATGCAGCTAGATGGCCAGAGGCACATTTTATACAGTCATTGATGGCCAGGGACACTTTTGAACTGATTTTCGCATGTTTGTTTTTCTGTCATGGTTGGGAATTTACGTGGACTTCTGTCTGATGATATTTTCCGTCTCCTTACTCAATAGTAACCCACACACAAACCATTTGTAAACTTTCATTAAGACATTTTCAGTATGTGTATTAAGCTGTTTTACTTTCAGGTTTTACTTTCCGTGTGGGGACATTTTATTCTTAGCACTATGTGTGCATTTTGCCTCTTTTAGAAATGCAATATATTGCTAACAGTAAATATTTTGGGTCAAATTATGAAGCGTCCTCTCCTACAGAGGAGATACAAGCAATGTGAACGATGATTGGTTTGTGTCCTTCTGTGTCACACTTTACTTTGACACAGCCATCACTGTGCTAGTCCACGAAGAAACTTTAATGGGCTTTGTCAACTATTCTGTTGCAGTGTAATCATTTGAAGACACTTTGCTACCAACTCTTATATACATTTCACACGTGGAAATATGATTAAGTTATGAATGAGAAGAATCATTATAGTTTCACATTGCATTATATATTTTTTGAAGTGTTCGTTCTAGTTAGTCTTTGAGCAAATCCGATTGATCCTTTCTACAAGTGATAATTATGTCATTTCCAACATGTACAATGGTGTGTGAAATTCATGCATGTAAGGCAAATGAATTCCACCTTTCCTAGACTAATGCTCATTTAGCCCTTTAAGCTCTTAGGGGATTGAATACATTTGTTAGCCCCACATTTAGTAACCTTGAATTGTGGCAGATTACATTATGTGGTGCTGTTCATTGCACCTTGCTGGGATATGAATTTATTCTGGCAGGGCTGCTGTTTCTCAGCAGCATTAATGCGAACTGCCCCTCCTCCCCTTTTGGCCTGTCCAGGTTCTCTGTCTTCACCCTGCTAATTATCCGCATACATCTCTTAGTGACTAAATATTCAAGACTTAGTCTATTCTTTCAGCATGATTTTTTGGGGTGACTTTTTAATTAGCTGTCCCTTCAGAGTGAATATTGACTGAGATTGACTTGATTCAGCCGAGGATAAGTAGGCAAGATGAGCATTAATGTGCGATGTGCAGACAGGGCTGTTGTGTGTCTCAATCGTACAGAACTTGGTGGAATCTGTGACCAAAATCTTATATCATTGCATGAGTAATCATAATAAATATACAAAAGTATAACAATTATTGCCATAAATGCAACAACAAAATGTTTTACATATAATAATGTGGTAATGGCTTTTTTGGGTATTTTAGTGAATTAAGGATGCATTTCATTTGATTATTTATCTTTTTATTTACTTGATGTAAGTATTTGACTTATTTACTTTGTTACTTGATATTCATACTTTTTATTTATATTATTAATGCATTCTTCATAAAAATAGATATGCATTCTTCATAAAAATAAAATATTATTCTTTAAAAAGTCTTACACTGATTTTACGGAGCCCCTAAAGGGGACATGGTGAAGGAAAAGATATATGAGATGGGAGGAAAAATTATTTGTCAATTCTTTGCGTTTTCTCTTATATCTTAAATATTTTGCATTCCTATGAGAAAAATTGTGTTCGCGTCCAAAATGTCACGGGTTCACCTGATAAAATGTTTTACAAGTGAACGCAAAGTTTCTTGAGGGAACGCAAACCATTTGCAAGAGAACACAAAACTATTGACATTAGGGCTGTCACAATATCAGATTTTTCTCCACACTGTTATCATGGCCAAAATAATTCCCGATAACGATATATCACAATATCTATAGAAGTTTGGTATCAAATATGGTAAATGGTAGTCCAACATACTTGCGTGAAATTCAAGAACAAATATCATTGTTTCTCACCTAAAAAAAAAAGCCTAAATCAAATCATATAAAGTGATTGTGTCTCTTCTTAAGACTAGGAAGACTTGCTCGATTCATATGGATTACGTTTACAATGTTTTTTATTAACTTTTTGAAGCGTCAAAGTTTGGTTACATGGACTTTCAATGGAGGAACAGAAAACTCTCAGGTTTCATTAAAAATCTTAATTTATGTTTTGTGTTTGCAAGAACAACTAAAGTCTTGAGTAAACGATGACAGAATTTAAATTTCTGGGTTAACAAACACCTGTGTATGGTATTTTTGTATTTGATATTTTAGCAGTATCATATATTATGAATAAAAATGTGGAAGATTTTCACACATCTAGATCTGTCTGGAATGATACTGTAGGAACATGTCACAATATTGAATCTTATCACAGCCCACTGAGCAAGCGACGTCTGTGGACATACAAAACAGGTTGATATCACGTCCGTCCGTCCAGGCCATAATCTGAACGTCCATTGACATCCAGAATTAGTTGATTAATGACAATGAGAAATTATGTCCAATCTGGCTATAATCTAAACGTCCACTGACAGCCAGAACTAGTTGAGAAAAGACGTTCATACTGGCTATAATCTGAACGTCCGGTGACATCCAGAATTAGTCGATGAATGACTTAAAAAAATATGTCCAATCTGGCCATAATCTAAACGTCCACTGACAGCCAGAACTAGTTGAGAAAAGACGTTCATACTGACTATAATCTGGACGTCCGTTGACATCCAGAAATAGTCCATAAATGACGTGAATAAAGATATCCAATCTGGCCATTATCTTAATGTCCACTGACAGCCAGAACTAGTTGAGAAAAGACGTTCATACTGACTATAATCTGGACGTCCGTTGACATCCAGAAATGGTCCATAAATGACGTGAATAAAGATGTCCAATCTGGCCATTATCTAAACGTCCACTGACAGCCAGAACTAGTTGAGAAAAGACATTCATACTGACTATAATCTGGACGTCCGTTGACATCCAGAAATGGTCCATAAATGACGTGAATAAAGATGTCCAATCTGGCCATTATCTAAACGTCCACTGACAGCCAGAACTAGTTGAGAAAAGACGTTCATACTGACTATAATCTGGACGTCCGTTGACATCCAGAAATAGTCCAGAAATGACGTGAATAAAGATGTCCAATCTGGCCATTATCTAAACGTCCACTGACAGCCAGAACTAGTTGAGAAAAGACATTCATACTGACTATAATCTGGACGTCCGTTGACATCCAGAAATGGTCCATAAATGACGTGAATAAAGATGTCCAATCTGGCCATTATCTAAACGTCCACTGACAGCCAGAACTAGTTGAGAAAAGACATTCATACAGACTATAATCTGGACGTCCGT